GCTTTTTTAAAAATTGACTGAACATTTCCCTAATTTATTTTCGAGCTTATGTACCTTCGACGTTATGTGATTTCGCTTGGTGGCAGTAGTACGTAACACAACTGCACTATGCACTAGCGCCAAATTAAAATTCTGTTTACGAGTGATAAGCAACATTTTATAAATAAATTTAATTCATCAAATTTTTCATCGAGAAAATTCGTCTTGCGCTTACAGATTTAAATCTTGTCTAATTTTTATTCCAAAATAAATATTCTACTTTAACTTAATTTTAAATTAATAAATAAAATGGTATTATTTAGATATAAACACCCTTTTTGAATAGAAAATAATATTCATACAATAAAAACTGAGGCTTAAAAATATAGATCACACCAGAATGATGTAAATATATATGGAAACTTGGTAGATTTTAATTTATAATTAAATTTATTTTAGTAATTTTTATGAACGTTTATATTTTCTAGGCAATTTTTAATTTCGGTAATTTTTGTTTTGAGTTAATTTTTTGATGTCATTGAAAAGTAAAACGTCGTGCCATAGATACTCTTGTTGAACGTCAAAGAAGTAATCTTCTTATAAAGATGGGTCGGAAAAGGCCCCTAAGGGAGCTGCAGCCTCTTAAGCATGTATTAAGCTCATATTACAGTCTGCATTTTTACTTGCAGCAGTCTTTCTTGCAGCTATTTTTCTTGCATGCAAGTTTTATTGCAATTCCAATTCCAACTTGCATTATACCAACCGTAGAAAAATATAGAAATTTTTAATAATAATAATATAATAATAATTTTATTAATGCCAAAAAATACAAAATCCTTGCACAGGTCAGATGGATAGAAAATTACAATATACAAATATATAAAAATACAAGTAGACATATTAATTGTTATAAAATGATTAAGATAAAAAAGTACAATAATATAAAACATCACACATTTAAATCACAAAAGTTGTTGGATAGAAACTCATCCAGAGAGTAAAATGCCTTGGAAATTAAATATTCTTTTATAACTATTTTAAATCTATTGTAATCTAAACTTCTAATTTTTAGAGGAATACAATTAAAAAAATTTATACCATGATAGTTAGTTCCAGTTTGAGTCCTGCTAAGTCTATTAACACCTATTTTAATGTCGGACCGATTTCTAGTAGCATACTCATGTATAGGGTTGCGCCTGGTCAATTGACCGCGGTCAATTGACCAAGATTTTTACCTTTTTTGACAGGAGACATTTTGACCATGTCAAAATCGGTCAAAAACTTTTAATTCAACCGCGCGCGGCGGCGGTGCTACCTAGCGGAAAATATCAAAAGTATTAAAAAAATGTTCGGTAGTGGACCATGGTGCAATCATAATAATGCTTTTTAAATAGTATTCTGGGTAATTTTTGACTAATTAATTTTAAGAGAGTAAAGACAATGGCAGGTCTTATCTGCTGGGCTGCTGTTGCTGTTCTGCTGCAAGCTAGACGTGAATGTTCTTAAAAACAATGATATTATGAATGTTTTTTTGTACCTCAGAATGGTTTCTTTATTTTTTGTTGTTTTTCAATAAATATACGTTTCTATTTAAAATTAAGTAATTTTACTCATGCCATCATTTCTTTAGAAAAACTAAGGAATTTGACCGGTGCTTAGTCAATTGACCTCAAAAGATTTTGACCGGTCAAAATTCCAACCCTACTCATGTATCATATCATGTGTGGAGTAACTATGTAAGTTTTTCTTTATATATAACAAACATTCCAATATATAAGGATAAGGTAGTGTTAACATTTTTAAAGATTTAAAAATGGTCTACAGTCCTCACGGTAGCCAATACAGGAAACAATTCTGATAGCTCTTCTTTGCAGGCCAAAGATGCGTAATCTAGCATTTGAATGACCCCATAGCAAAATACCGTATCTCGATAAAGACTCAATCAGGGAAAAATAAACACATCTTAGGTAATTTTGGGATAAAGTATTTGAGGGATTGCGAAGTAAACATATGTTTTTTGACAGCCTTCCCGCAAGCAGATCCCCATGATATTGCCATGATAACTTCGAATCCAGACATATACCCAGGAAACTCGTACTTCTTGTGTATATTGGATCAAAATCACGGAGGGAAAAAACCATATCAACCGTTTTTTTCGATATTTAGACACAGTTTGTTTGCTGCAAACCAGTCAAGGCACGAGTCTGTAATTGTTGGGTTCGTTGCAAAACAGTAGAAAATAGTTTGTCACTTATTACAAAAGATGTATCATCAGCAAACAGAACAACATTGTTGGCTGAGGACAAGTAATTCGGCAAATCATTTACAAAAATGAGAAACAATAAAGGCCCCAATATGGAGCCTTGAGGTACGCCACTTTCTATATACAAGGTTTTGGAAGATGAGGTTTCCATTGAAACATATTGAGTCCTCTGTGCCAAATATGATAACAATAAACGACAACTTGAGGGATGAAAGTTAAAAAAATAGAGTTTTCTTAATAACAATATGTGGGAGACACAAACAAAGACCTTACTTAGGTCTAGGAAGGTAGCCAGTGAATATTCTTGGTGTTCAAAACAGTGATCTCGTTCGTAAAAGCCAAAATGGCATTGGTTGTGGATAAATTTTTCCTAAAACCAAATTGGTTGTTAGAAAATAGGTTGAAGGACTCGAAGTGGTACATGACTTGTTTAAAAATTAATTTTTCATATATCTTTGCAAGTATTGGTAGCAGGAATATTGGTCGATAGTTATTCACTACATCCTTGTCTCGCTTTTTGAACACTGGGATTACCCTCGCTTGTTTAAGAAGATATGGAAAGACTCCTGCCTGCAGACACAAATTTATCACTTTAGTGAGAGGAATTAAAATAACATCCTTAACAGATTTTATAATAGATACCGAAAGACCAAATATATCCCTGCTTTTACTTGGCTTTAATTCATTGATTGCATCACGCACATTTACAAAAGAAACCTCATTAAAATAGAACAATGGACTAGACCTGAAACTACTTAGTAGTACTATCCCTTGCCATTAAATTTACAGGATCAAACTTACCTGGTGACAGTGTTTGTAATATTTTATTTGGAATATCTTTAAAGAAATTATTAAAAGTATCCGCACTAATACTTGAACCAGGTTCAACTTTTGGTTGTTTAATGTTATTATTTTTAAGATCCCACATTGCTTTTGGGCTGTTTTTTGAGTCCTTTATAAAACTATCAAAAGCTTTGGTTTTAGATGCTTTAAGTTCTTTTTTATATTGTTTGCGATATTGGGTAAGTAAGATTTTTAAATCAGCAGTACCATAAAGCTTAAATGAGTCATGTATTAGCATCAAGGTTTCACGCATACTATTAAGTGCTGGTGTAAACCATTTAACTGAGTTTATTTTTGATTTTTTACTTGTAATAGATTTTGTAGGAAAAGAGCTATCAAAATTGTATACCACAACTGAAATAAACTGTTCAAGTTTGTTTGTGGGATTCAAATCTAAACTATCAATAAAGGACCAGTCTTCAGTTTCCAGAGCATTATAAAAAGTCCACTTACCAGCCATTGAAAGGGGCCTGATAACTTTTCTAATGACCGGATCATTTTGTCTAATACTCAGGTTTATTTCAACAGACAGTCCTAAATGGTCTGAGAGATAAGTTTCAATAGGTTTGGAAGAACACTCGACAATGTTGGTAAATACATTATCAAGTATGTTAACTCCTCTAGTTGGAAAATTAACTAGATTATACAAATTATAGGTTTTAAAAAAATCGCACACACAAGTTGAGTTTCTATCCTCCAAAACATTAAACTTAACATTAAAATCTCCTACAATTAGAATATTATTATTAACATAATAAAATGACCAAACATTGTATTTAAAGTATCAATAAAAATCGTTAAATTGCCACTTGGGGATCGATATAGGGTAATGATTACCAGGTTTAATGCTGAAATTTCAGTGTTTTTCAATTGACAGTTTGTTTAATTTTACAAGAACATTATACGTAATTTTTTTGTTTACCATTTGAAGCACACCGCCATGTAAAAATGTACTTCTGGAAAAGTGTGATCCAGTTAGAAGATCATTAAGATGGAAATTAGTGGACTCAGCTGCCGTCAACCAATGTTCAGCGAAACAAACCACATCAAATGGGTTAACATGCAGAAAATCCTCAAATTCAGATGTTTTGCTTCGGATACTTTGGATATTAACAAAAAGTAACTTGAGCTTATCTCTGTTTTTAGTAACATTTAAGTGGCTATTTTTTCTTTGATTCTTGGGTGAAAAAACCTATTTAAATAAGTTCCCTGTGGCCATAGACCAGGTTTCATTAATTCTTCAAAATTATTTAGATCCACAGTTAATTTAAATGAGGAATAGTGATCTGGAAATTTAGACTTAACAACCTCACACTCAATTTTTGGAAACTGATCTTTTAAGTAATTCACTAGATCATTTTTATTTGTTGTTGGGACTAGCCTCGAAACATAAACAAATGACTTTTTTGGGACCATTTTTAGGACACAATCAATCCTTAGATTGCCCAAAATACTTGCTTTATTTTATTTATTTATTTATTGCTGACCCTAAAACAGTTTAACAAAAACTGGTACCAGGGCCTATATGAGTATATAATATAATAACAGTAATTATAACAATTCTATACAAAAAATATTATATAAAAAAATATATGTTTCTTAAATAACTCAGATTCCTTAGTTATGTTAGAAGGTTTGTTAATATTAATGAGTTTTTCACAGGTAGTTTTTGTTGCTGCTTCTAGTATAGCCGCAGAAACTGTTTGTTTATTTAATTGTTGATGTTTATTAAACAAATTTTGGTTGTTGAATTCTCTCCATATTTTTAACATTACTAATGACAGGTATTGAAGGATCTGCAGAACTACCATCAGTAGGTGTGTTTGCACTCTCGGGTTGACCTTGAGTTTTAGCTAGCGATATTTGTTCACATGCAACTTGCATGTGAACAAATATCGCTAGCTAAAACTCAAGGTCAACCCGAGAGTGCAAGTAATGGTTTTGATGTTTCGATAGAAGAAGAAGAGGCAACTTGATTATCCACTATGCACACCTTCTCATGCTTGTTGTTTACCTTTTTTGTCACGGCATTTTTTTCTTGTTTCGTCAGAAACTTTACTTTTTCTTTTAATAGATCACAGTTTTCAACTAATAATCTGTTCTTATCTTCCAATTCATCAATGATTTTATATAGTAACTTGATTTTTCGTTTAAGATTAAGATTTCTCTCTTCATGTGGTACATTGCTGTCCTCTTCAGACTCAATTTGATGTGCACACAGAGCACTTTTCACAGCAGCACTTTGCCTCATACAAGCTGGATGAAAGTCTTCCGAACATTTAACACACTTTTCAGGATTACTCACTGACTTTTTACAGTGCTTGCAAACACAATTTTCACGATTTCGATTATTCACGTCTGCACCACTTGGCGCCATCTTGACATAAAATATTATAAAGTACAATTAAAATTAAACTTAGCTCCTGTCACACGAATTTATAATATATATTATGTAGGACTCGACCGATGGCTGAATTTTGCCGATGGGCCGATGCCGATTGTTATACTTAACTTTCTGCCGATGCCGATGGCCTTTAATAAAATAAAATCTTTAAAAAAATATTTATTTTTAATAGAATTTTTTTACAAACATAAAAAATAAAATAACATTCTGAACAAAAATATATAAAATTTAAAAAATAAACAACTAATATTTGTAGTTAATTAGTGGTAAGTTTTTATTTAAAAAAATTAAGTTTTCAGCATTTTCTGATAGTAACGAGTACCTGTTGTCATCGTAAATTTCACCAGCAGTAGAAAATAATTGCTCACTGGTAGGTGGTGAAGAAAGGTATTTTCTGGCGGCACGCTTTAATATCTCAAACGAAGAATTTTCCCACCAACCAAAAACATTTAAGATCGGTGTTTCCTGGTGGTTTTCGGTCTTATGAAGGTCATAGCGTTCGATCTCCTTCTCAAATGTTGTTTTAGATTCCGACAGATTTTTCTCTTTTTTTATTGGTAAAGTTCGTTTATAATATTCCCAAAAGTTCATTTTAATTTTTTTAGTGGGTGGTTCAAATGAAGAAGAGTGGTCAATTTCAATTTCTGTGGAGGAGGAATGAAAAGAACAGGAGGGTAGAGGTAGTTTATTTCTATTGTTGTGAGAATTAAGTTGATCCTCTTTGGTTTCAAATTCTTCTCTCAACCACTGTATAGCTTTGGTATTTGCTTTGGGTGAAAGGTCGTCTTTTTTAAATCGAGGATCAAGGTATGTGGCGCATACATAAACCTTATTTTCTTCAATGTTATTAAATCGCGTCTTCATTGAATTTAAATAAATGTAGCGTATTGTTCCTAAACCTCCTTCTTCTTCTGATGGTTGAAGTTCATACATAAGTGTTTTAACAATTGGAATCGTAAGGGATATTGTAGCTGCATCTCTGCTTATTTATTTTGTCACCGTATCAAAAATTTGTAGTATTTTATTTAAGTTTGTAGCCAATTTCCATTCATTGGTCGTTAACATTTCCGGCAAACCATGTCTCACATCAAATAAAACTAAAACTTCTTTTTGTTCAGTCAAACGTTCCAACATGTAAAATAATGAATTCCATCTAGTGGCTACACTTTGTATGAGTTGATGTTTTGGAGATCCCAACTCATCTTGCACTTTTCCCAAAAATCGACGTGCCTGTTCGGACTTATTAAAATGTCCAACGATTTTTCGTGATTTTGCTAATAAATCATTTACGGAACGTTGAGCGTAAATCCCGTCTTCAATCACTAATTGAAGAGTATGTGCCAGACACCTTACATCACTAAATGACTTAGCTTCATTTACTGCTTTACAAATATTTGCCCCATTGTCATGTACAAGTGTATGGATTTTTTCTAAAGGAATGTCATAGTCTTTAATTATATTTTGTAATTTACCCTTTAAATATTCACTTGTGTGATTATTATGCAGTGGAGTAGCCGCAAGTATCACTTTTAATCGAGTCATTTTTTCTGGAACCACATAGTGAGATTTAAGACTCATTAAACTTGTTGTGCTTGATTTGTTAGTCCAAACATCTGTAGTAAAACTAATAAATTGAGCAGCTTTAATAATTTCTTTTATTTTATCCTTGACGGCCCCGTAAGTTGGATCTAATTGTTCACGGTAATATTTGTCCGATTTCAGTGCCGCCCGTGGTTCGAGAAAATTAATAACACGAAGAAACCCTGTTTCATTAATGATTATCCTTTTACCATTGCCAATTGGCAATGGTAAAAGGATAATTTCCCATAGCAATCATCTCTAACACAAGTTTATCCAATTTTTTTGCCCTGTTGTCATCAGTCCCCCATTTTTGTGTTATGTTGATGCAAGTTTAAAGTGTTTCCTGAAAAAAAATCTTATTTCGGCAATCTCTATTTGTTTTTGCACTTTCCGCTCTGGTCGCTTCGTGTTCTATTTCTTCCTTCTTTAAAATAGTCTTTTTTTCTTTATATTCAGCATAAAGAGACGAATGGGCTTTTATTTTTAAATGATCAACACAGTTTGTAGTATTTGCTTTATGGGCTTGCGCATTTCCTCTTGATATATTTTTTTTGCAAGCTTTACAGGTCATAAATTTTTTATCATTACTTGGGGTATAATAATCCAGTATTAAATCTTTAAGAAGTTGCTTAAAATTACAACTAGACATAGTCTCATAGTCTTTAATTATATTTTGTAATTTACCCTTTAAATATTCACTTGTGTGATTATCATGCAGTGGAGTAGCCGCAAGTATCACTTTTAATCGAGTCATTTTTTCTGGAACCACATAGTGAGATTTAAGACTCATTAAACTTGTTGTGCTTGATTTGTTAGTCCAAACATCTGTAGTAAAACTAATAAATTGAGCAGCTTTAATAATTTCTTTTATTTTATCCTTGACGGCCCCGTAAGTTGGATCTAATTGTTCACGGTAATATTTGTCCGATTTCAGTGCCGCCCGTGGTTCGAGAAAATTAATAACACGAAGAAACCCTGTTTCATTGGCAATGGTAAAAGGATAATTTCCCATAGCAATCATCTCTAACACAAGTTTATCCAATTTTTTTGCCCTGTTGTCATCAGTCCCCCATTTTTGTGTTTTGTTGATGCAAGTCGAAAGTGTTTCCTGAAAAAAAATCTTATTTCGGCAATCTCTATTTGTTTTTGCACTTTCCGCTCTGGTCGCTTCGTGTTCTATTTCTTCCATCTTTAAAATAGTCTTTTTTTCTTTATATTCAGCATAAAGAAACGAATGGGCTTTTATTTTTAAATGATCAACACAGTTTGTAGTATTTGATTTATGGGCTTGCGCATTTCCTCTTGATATATTTTTTTTGCAAGCTTTACAGGTCATAAATTTTTTATCATTACTTGGGGTATAATAATCCAGTATTAAATCTTTAAGAAGTTGCTTAAAATTACGACTAGACATTTTGTGCCACGCTTAGTACGAACGATGGATAAATAACTTACGAACACATAATAATCCAGTATTAAATCTTTAAGAAGTTGCTTAAAATTACGACTAGACATTTTGTGCCACGCTTAGTACGAACGATGGATAAATAACTTACGAACACAGACACTCGAGTCGAGTGATATTCGATATAAGTACTAACTTATATCGAATATAGAGTTATATAGAACTTATATATAGAATAAATCATAGTAAAACTTATTTACAAAGGGATTTTAAATCTATTATGTTATCTAATAGTATTAGACTAGTACTATAAAATTCAAACTAATGATATAATAGTAATTCATTATAAATTATTTATATCCCTTTCACAGCTATAAAACATGACATTCTACATATATGCAACCCGTTATATTAAGGCTAATTAATAGGCAACCCTTAATGCCCTTATTTAAACCCTATCTGCATAGATTCTATTCCATAAAACTAATAAATCTATGCTGGCGTTTACTCTACCGGCACTTTTTTGCTTTGAACTTAGTAGTTTTTCAAAATATATAAAATAATCATTACTTTAGTAAGTACCCTATAGTTTTAGTGCAATATCTCGTCGCCTTACTGTATTAGCTCTTTTATTTCAAAAACACGCAATCTTGCGTGATTTTTGAGGTTAGTTGTCTTATATAACCATTCAAGTTACCAAATTGACTACTCTGGAAATGTAAGGAAATGTAAGGATTGAGACTTTATATTTAAGAAGAGATGATTATTTATTATAATAATAATTATTATTATTTAAAATGGTTGTTGGATCGGCACCATCGGCATATATTTTTGCCGATGGCCGATGCCGATGGCTGAAAATTGCAACCATCGGCGCCGATGCCGATCCATTGGTCGAGTCCTAATATTATGTAATAGAATTTAGAATACAACGAAACAACACACAAATGACTTCAAAAAACAAACCAGCGTTTCTAAGAAATTTAAAGTGGGATTGGTGTGAAAAATGTTACCAATTTTTCCCCCAGACTATGGGCTTTACAGTCTGCAATTCTACGTGCAATATGCAATATTCTTGCACGAAGGCATGCGCATAGCGACGTTTCGTGCAAGTCTATTGCCGTTTAAAAATATCGGTCCTGATCGATTTTGCATGCAAGTCTGAGGGAAAAGTTGGTAACTTTTTCATTCCAATCAACACTTTTCTAGAGGTGCTGGTTTGTTTGTTAAAGTGTGTTTTTTCTTCGAATTCTAAATTTTATCACATAATATACAGTGTGACCCATTTGTTTGCGACTCACCCCTGTAAAATCTTTATTTATTCTGCGATTTTGACCGGATTTGTTTTAAAAGGTAGATCTTGATAAACTTTATTTTTTAAGCAAAAAACGCCATATATTACAAAAAAGGCCTACTTTGTCAGTTTTTTAGCGTAAATTTGTAATAATTCATATTAGAGATTAAAAAAAAAATGTATGCACGGTACTGGATTCACCACCCCTAAAAACGACCCTATCCTAAATTTGATTGATTTTAGGTAGGAATGATTTTGTAGCCAAATTAAAAATCAACAATAATAACTATTTACAAAAATTTATTCGTTCAATTTATCCATGAAAAAAACATTGAAATAAAATTAAACTAATAGTAACATGGTATAAACATTCATATACTTAGTTTTGAAAAATGAAACACACAATTGAAATTTAAAACAACAACAAAACAAAAAATAGAGAATTAACCCATTTGACCCTAAAACTATTTTTTTCCAATTTTGTATATTTTTTTCTTAAAAAGGGTTAATAGAAGGTCCCATAAGTCGAGAAAAAATCATAAAATTTTTTTTTGATTTCCAGTATTGAAAAAAACAGTGGTTCTTTTAAAAGGACGGTAGGATAAAGGGCTACTATTCGAAAAATAAATAAATATTTGAAAATATGTTTATTAGGGTGATTCATTTTCGCAAAGTTATTTTTTTTTTCGGTGCTCAAGCAAAATATTAATCTGCCTATAGAAAAAAAAATTTTCACCAAGGTAGAGCTCTTAATATCAATTTTAAGTACTTGCAGTTTCAATTTAAAGTTTTCCCATTTAAAATGCATGTAAAAAAAATGTTTTTTTTTCAAATTTCTAATGCTCGCCCGCTCTTTACAATATTGTAAATCGGTTTTATGGACCTTATAGGGAATTTCACGCTCTTCAAAATTGTCTTTGTGTTTTTTTGTGTAACTCGTAGTGGTTTGCCAGTAGGAGTCATCAAAGTTCAATTTTTTGAATAAACATTTTTTTTTTGCAATTTTTTTTAACAATTCGCAAAAAATAGTGAAAAAAAAGAGCTGAATCGTAAAAAATAGTCTTTTAACAAATGTTTGATGAATTTACGGCCATTTGTATATCTTAAAACGTAAGTAATTGATAAATATTAACCAATTATGCTATTTAAACTTTCTTATTTACTATCGATATAATTCTCTACAACAATAACTTTTTCAGTGTTATTATGATTTCTGACTAAAAATAAATATAAACATAACACATCAATTCATAAAAAAAACAACAAAACTTTAATCAAAACAAATAACAGATTACATTATTAGATAATATATTGCAAATTTAATAAAAATCTCAATAGTCATAAATAAACAATTTGATAAATATTAAATTATTTCGACTTTTATACAAAGCAAATTAAGATTTTATTTTATGACGTAACTAACGTGCCCTTAACATGTATACAGGTACAATTTATTATTATATTATTATTGTGCCGCCAATTTTAAATTAAGCGGCACGGCAGTGATGACGTTTTTTATCTATTACGTCACTAGCGTGCCCGTAAAAAATAAATTGCAGGCACTCTAACGTGCACCTAGTCACTTCGTACTTTGTTCTCGGACTAATCACTAAATACAACAAACAATACATTTTGGGGTTAAGTATAACATAAAGCATCAAACCCGTTTACAAAGACAATAGAGTCGCTAACGTCATACTAATTAACTAGAGCAATCATAACATTGTAACAGTTGCTTTCCCAATCAAATAATTATCATTATTTTTTTACTTATGTTCGAATATGCCATCAATATATTATTTAGTGCAATTATTCAAATAGCAATTTCTACTTATACAATATTGAAGCAAATGAAGTTGACAATAAAAACAATTTACTTTTTCGTTAATTTAAGAATTTTGTTAAAAAAATTGAATAACCTTCATTTATATTTATTGCTATATTACGGAAATGTTGAAAAATTGCAGAATCTAAGTTGCAATTGTATATTTGTTGTTTTTTTTATAAATTAATGTGTATTTTTATATTTATTATAAGTCAAAAATCATAATAACTCTGGAAAAGTTATTGTTGTAGAGAATTATATCGATAGTAAATAAGAAAGTTTAATTTAAATAGCATAATTGGTTAATATTTATCAATTACTTAGGTACGTTTTAAGATATAAAAATGGCCGTAAATTCATCAAATATTTGTTAAAAGACTATTTTTTACGATTCAGCTCTTTTTTTTCACTATTTTTTGCGAATTATTAAAAAAAATTGCAAAAAAAATGTTTATTCAAAAAATTGAACTTTGATGACTTCTACTGGCGAACCACTACGAGTTACACAAAAAAACACAAAGACAATTTTGAAGAGCGTGAAATTCCCTATAAGGTCCATAAAACCAATTCACAATATTGTAAAGAGCGGGCGAGCATTAGAAATTTGAAAAAAAAAAACATTTTTTTTACATGCATTTTAAATGGGAAAACTTTAAATTGAAACTGCAAGTACTTAAAATTGATATTAAGAGCTCTACCTTGGTGAACATTTTTTTTTCTATAGGTAGATTAATATTTTGCTTGAGCGCCGAGAAAAAAAAAGTTTTTTGCGGAAATGAATCACCCTAATGTTTATATATTTTACAAAATGCTTATAGCAAAATACAACTCACTTAAATACTTAAAAACTAATTAGTATGATAGGTCACAAAACAGTTTTTTGGATGGAGAGCAACGTCACATTTTTGGCATACAAAATTTGGTTTTTTGTGGCACACAGCACATTTTCGCTGACTCTCGTGATATGTAACTAAATGATCTAGTCTATCATAACGTGAGAATTGGTGCGCGGTTTTTGGCAATTTCGAAGGTCCTTTCTTAGTTGTTTTCCTGTATGTTTCGAGCAGCTGTGTCCCTAGGTCCCTCCTAAACTGAAGTTGGTCTAGGGTACCACCATCATTTCTATGGAGATGCCATGAGTTTTGTGAGGCCATGTCGACACAGTGAGAAAATAACGGGAAATACCACTTTTTGCCTCGTATTGAAACTCTATATTGGCTTATGTTTTGGTCACTACGGTCTACACCTCCCATATTTTCGTTGTATGCCTTGATCAATTGTGGCTGAACTATATAAACATGCTTTTTTTCAGCCTGTGAAAATCGTTTTACCTTATTTACTGGCAAAACTGAACATGCATTGGTGCCTAAAGTAACAACGCTGTTGTCGTTCCATTTGCATAAAGCGATCTCATTATCGGCAACACCCCATTCAAATGTACCTCGAGTCTTTTTCTTCAGAACTTTAGCAAAATGGAGATTGAGGGATCCGGTTTTCACGTATAGTACCAGTTGCCTTGATGTTCCTCAAGTTTAGCTCTTTTAAAAGTGACAGGGCTGGTAAGGCATTTTCTGTAAAACATCTGCATATTGGAGAACAACTGACGCTCCCAAACCCATGTGTTTATATTTGTCCGGAATTGTTGTCGACGCACCTTGGTAGGGATCAAAATAAACAATATATCCAAGGCGTAGGGTACCTACCCAAAATTTATACCCCCACCTTATAGGCTTGCCTCTTATAAATTGCTTACCGCTATGTCTCCCAAAATACGGTATCATGGCCTCATCAAAGCTTTGATTCTCTTCAACTGGGGCATAATCAAAAAACTTTTTATTTAGGCTGTTGAAAAGAGGACGCAGCTTAGAGTACTTGTCATTTTTATCAAGG